GCATAAACAGATTTCATTACACCAAATACACAAAATAATGTTCTTTTTAGCTACATCATATGACCCCTTTAAAACAAATACAGCCAAACAAGCAAAATGTGAATTGCATCATCCGCTATCTGAACAAGATGAAATCTAGTGGAGTAATAAAAATATAATTTACAAATCCGCATTTAAAAACTTTCACAATTGTTTATGAAACAGATTTTCTGAATTCTATATGCATTATAAACATTTATTTTCTTGCTTGACTCTCTTTCTTAGTGGTTTGGTCTCTTGAATGCACGAAAGGTTATGGATTAAATGTATCTATACTCTTTACAAGAGCGAAGAAACTTTAACATGCTCAAACTTTAATGAATGTGCGGATTTCAGTGCAATAGTTTGATTTTTTTCAGTTGTAATAGTTTTAAGGGTAAAACAGCTAGACTTAATTTTTGTGTTGATGCTTCATGTGATCGCACTTTGTGGACAGACACAAAGTTGCACTAAAAGAAATATCTCAAAGAGAAAAACTGTAACTTAATTTCTTAATTTTCATTTATTCCTATTATGATGACAGCTCACAAAAAGATGTCTTCACTTAAAAACATACACCGTCCAACAAACAAATTGTGAACGGCTATCCGAAATCTTGATAATACGACTAAATCTAGTGGTGTAAGAGAAAAAATTAGAGTAATGAATAAAACATTGTGATTCTTAGATGTGCCATATCCCTGGCGAAAATCTGTTGGCATGCAAAAAATACTTACAAATGTTTTAGCACAGCTATTTATACACATGGTATGAGAACTGTATATTGTGTTACTTGCATAGAAAATTCATTACCAGTTTATCAGGGTCAAAAGGAAATGATGATACTAGTTGAAACATCCTTAGCTTGTACATTTCTTTCATGTTGAAAATCACAGATTCTAGTGTGTTTAATCTTTCAGTAAACCATTTAAAATTACATGATACCTACAAAATAGTCAATATTTAAAGTGTATAAGTTTTGTGTTCTAGGTAAGAAATTTTACACCAAGTGTTAAAGGCCAGGTAAATAATTTGAAACGTAGGTCTGTCAAATGAGAAAAGTTCAGTCATACATTAAAAAAAAAAAAATTCTGAAGTAAAAAAAAAATATGTGTTTGTCACAAACTCATCCAAAGAGTTTTCTATTCATGTGAGAAAAGCATTTGGGTGCATTCATTTTCTAAAGAAACAATACTGGTCATCAGACTATTTTAAAGAAAATTAAAGACAATAGACAGCATGCCTTGCTTTAGTAACACAATGTGTTTAACCTTTTAAACATGATTTAAAATTGTGGGTGTAATTAGTTTACTCAGAAGTTTTAAGTAAAAATGTATATTTGTTATTTTACAGTATACATACTATCTATGGGTTGGATTAAAATGAAAACATTTCTTAAATAGTTTTAGATTTTGTAATAATTAGATTAGCTTGTACTGATCCTACAGAGGTGTTAGCATACACGCATACACATGAGGTAGAAAGAACATGCCCAAACATAACACCTTTTCAGAAGCATATAGAAAGTGTGATGGGTAATGGTCTTGGTGAATTCTTTCATTCTATGTTTTAGTTTTCAGTTTTTAGGTGCTTTATTGGCATGGAAAATATTTTGTACATTCGTATTGCCAGAGCATTCCAGTATTGTTGCAAACAATCAATACAGTGATGTCTTAGCTATCAACATTTAGCCCATAGATCAAACTGAACTGAACCGTTTAGGGGTTTGAGATGGACACGTGTCTGGATATCTTCCAACCCACAAACAAAGCACATCCCCATTAACAAACATATTAAAACATTATATCGGACACCGACTACATCACGGTAGGAAACAGATAGGGGAGAAGCTTTGGGCTTTGGTGTCTAGACACCAATCCACCAAAGGTGTTGACCTAAAACGCAAACACGGAAGCCAGATGCCCCAGACAACCTCCTTGCTTAGGGGGGTGGATGTAGACGGGTCAGTAGCCACACTGTTGGTGACTATGCATTAATATATACCGTATAGATCAAACAAATATTGATCCTGTTGAGGTGACAATACACACCCTTTGCTTAGCCATTTTTTCCACAATCAGGAAAAACCCAAACACCTCCAGACTGGAAGTGAGCAACAGCTCAGGAAGGAACTCCATAAAAACCCCATGGCACAGGCAAGAGATCAAAACATCATAAATCCAGTCATAAATACATCAAAAGTCAGATCTAACATCTGTTTGATCTTTTGATTTACACACCCCACTGTCATGTCAGTCAGGGGTGACAGGACCCCGGTGACATGGCAGTCCACCCTACTGTCATGTCAGTCAGGGGTGACAAGACCCCGGTGACATGGCAGTCAGGGTGACAGAGGGTCATATAGCCATAAATCAGGTCATAAATCTGACCATGTACACATTTGGCATATGACAACCTCTCAATCAACGCGGACAGGGGTCATAAATCAGGTCATAAATCACCAATCTGACACAAAGTGTATGATACAACTACTTTCGTAGTTACCTCAAGATTCCCATCCCGTGGCAGAAACGGAGAGGGAAATAGAGAAAGATTAGCATAGCTGCTGTTCAAACCAAGCAGAGAATGATAATGTGCATTTGATCAGATAATACTCTTAACCACTATAAGATAGTGATTAAGTGTCTTTAATTTAGATTTAAACAGAGAGAGTGTGTCTGAACCCCGAACGTTCTATTCCAGAGTTTGGGAGGCAAATGTGAAAAAGCTCTACCTCCTTTAGTGGACATTGCTATCCTAGGTACTACCAAAAGTCCAGAGTTTTGTGACCTTAGGGAGCGTGATGGATTGTAGAGTGACAGAAGACTGGTTAGGTAAGCAGGAGCAGGATCTAAACCATTTAGGGCCTTATAAGTAAGTAGTAATATTTTGTAACTGATACAGAACTTAATAGGTAGCTAGTGTAGAGATTGTAAAATTGGGGTAATATGATCATATTTTCTTGACCTGGTAAGGACTCTAGAAGCTGCATTTTGGACAACCTGTAGTCTTGTAATCATTAGGTAATGTTTAATAAGGTTATTAGTAAACATTAAAAAGCACATTATCTCATGTTTAGTTGTTTGAATATATATTAACTAATGATCTGTTAAGCATTATATTACAGTATATAAAGTGTTACTGCATCACTACTCTCCTCTGGAAATAAAGCTTTCAGTAACTTGCTTGATCTTGATCCTCCATGCACAGAATTTTGGGCACAGTATTCAAAACACCACTTGCTGGTTAAACTCCTTTTGGCACTGTACGCAGGGTTAAACTTACAATAAGAAGCACTAGTGTAAAATTGTCTTTTCTCAGATGACACATCCTTGTGAAACTCATTATGGAAACACTTCTGAAAGCTTTATTATGACCTGAATCAGCTCAAGTGTGGTCCTGTCTCCTCAGATGACATCACTCTTACTGTGGATGGAAAAGACACATATGAAGAAGTGAAGAAGTCGGGTAGGTACAGGTAAGCCCATTCACACCTCTGCTGCACATACTGCTAATGTTTTGCACATGTTTAGTGCGGTTCTCATTTAAAGTGGATCTTTACAGAGAGTGCAAGAGAACCCAAGGTGTTTCCACTACAGACCTGGTTGGCCGCATGCTGCTCATGACCAAAGCTCATCACAGCAACATGGTGAGGCTCGAAACAACCTCAACATTTGTAAATGCAGACAGTTCTCACTAGACAAGCTTGATTTCAAATATGTCAGACGTCAGCACACTAATGCGCTGTAGTGTGCATTAGCATAAATTCATCAGTGTTTCACTGTCATGTCCAAGGGGCCAGAGTTTGGTTGGGTGGCATGGTCCATGCCACAATTAAATCATTTTGGGTTGTAACACCCGTTTTTATGGAAACATTTACCATCATACTGTTGTTCAGTTTTATTGGTTTGCTTGTCACTTTGGTACCGTTTACACCATTATCACCTCCACCTTATGTCTGTAACACCCTAATTGATATTGTATTGGAACTGATAATGAAAAGTATCTGTTAAAAAAATCTGTTCATGTTGTAAAAAATACCTAGAATACTGAGGTTTGTCACGACACAGAAACACAAAAATGTACATTAAATACTTACACGCTTGCAATACACTGGCCAAGCATTCACATCTGCTTTTGCATACTTTTGTAGAGTACATTTCTGATATGTCTCTGGTATGCTATAATTACTCATTGTCAAATTGGACATTAATTTCTCCATCTTTCTTTCCTCTTCAGGGCAGTTCAGACTATCAACAGCACACAGACAACTTTGGAAGAGTGAGTGTTTTATTTCCTTTTGGTTATTCTTGTAGTCTTGTAACCTTTTTTTAAGAGTGAAATGTTTAGAAGTACACTACAGAGTACACTTGGGTATTTTGGTTATAAATCTGCCAGTACTACAGTATTGTACAAAATTGTGTACAAAACCATGTTCTTGCCTTAATTAACCGAGTCAGCATGGCAAGCCTGCAATAATAATTTTGCAGGTATCTTGCTTTTTTTTCAACTACAGATGTCAACAGAGAGCCCAGAATTCCATAGTACAAATAGAATGGAAATTTGATTAGTCATCTCAGATCTCCCTCTTTAGGGTCCCAGGATTGTTTACTTGTTTTTCTGCTTTGCCCTTTTGTTCCTCCTTCTGCTAGCATTGCCTTCACATGCCTCTGCCAAGTTGGCACATAAAAAAGTTTTATTGTCATCACAGTCCATAATCAGAGACTGAGCCATGAGCCATCTGTTTCTGAGTTTAACATTGACTAAATAATTTCTAGTCATTGCCTCCAAATGTAGATTTCACTGGATGCGACAAAAATATAAATTGCAAATTATTTGTCATTTGTGTCAGTACGTCTCAAATAGAATGTGGCATCAGTTTACAGTCAAAGATCTGTTGCTCGCATTGCACCGCATCCAGTGTAGACAGAATCTCTGATTATAATGGGTTTTATTGTCTTTGGTCGCATTGCGCAGATGTCAGAGTGCCGCCCACAAGGTTATTGTTCACACATTATTGTGTGCTCTTGATATCAGAAAAAATACTTGATGGCTTCTTCAAAGGGCTGCTGGTTTAAAAGTTCTTGTACCTGTCAGAACCACTAAAGGGCTCACATCGTGCTCCATAAATTGTACTTAAGTGTAATTACTATAGGAATGTGCATTATGAACAATGATTAGCATGCCATCACTCATTTGTCGTTTATTGCTGTTGTAATGGAGGCGACGAGACGAGAGACGTGCGGATTCATTTCCAGGCTTTTATTAAACAGAGACGTGGTCATAAGAGGCATGGGTCAAACAGTGGCAAACAGGTACATTTCAGGCAAGACAAAGAGTAGTCCTAGGGCAAGTGTGGGTCTACGATCGGCGAACAATATCCAGAGGGCTTGACACGAGGGGTTATCCAATAACACAAGCAATAGTCCAGGCAAGGTGCAAACACAGTCCGAAACAGCAGGCAAAGGGTTAATCCAAGATACACAGGCAGAAGATCAGGAAACAGACAACAAGGCAACACAAAATGACTAGACTTAGACTAGAACTAGAAACAGAAACTTGGAATGGCTCCGTAATGTAGCTATCGCTAGAAGAGTGATATACGCTAAACAATACTCGGCAGTGAGAGAGAGGAAGTCCATGGCTTATATATTGGATGCAGCTGTGTGTGTGTAAAGACAACCACAGCGGAGCAGAAGACCCCCATGGGTGGAGCAGACGGAACAAGCAGAGCAGAAGACCACCACGGCGGAGCAGAAGATCACCAGAGCGGGACAGAAGACCACTAGGCTGGAGTAGATACCCATGGCAGAGACTGGGATCTAGGGAAAACTGAGACACACGAGACAGACAGAGCATTTATGGCCTCAAGGGCCAAGGCAGGGAACACAAAAAGTTAATGAATAGTTTCCCTGGTGACAACTGAATGGGCATACAATTCATAAGCAGGCTCATTGACTGAAACTGAACAGGCTGACAATTCACACTCAGGCTCATTAGTAGAGACTGGATAGACAGAACATTCAGAATGGGGTCCATTGACAGTGACTGGACGGACAGACAGTTCATAGTTAAATGCATTGGCTGAAATAGGACTGGCAGATAGTTCACAATCAAGGGCATTGACAGAGGCTGAAGTAGACAGTTCAGTGACAGAAACTGGCAAGACAGACAGTTCAAAATCAGACTCATTGAGGAAAACTGGACTGCCAGGTAGTTCACAAACAGATTCATGGGCTGATATGGGATAGACTGACAGCTCAAAATTAGTTGCATTAACTGAAGCTGGACTGGTAGACATTTCAGTGACTGAAACTGGACAGACGGATGGTTCATCAACAGACTCAATGACTAAATCAGGACCGACAGATAGTTCAAATTCAGACTCAACAGGAGCATTTAGCCAGACAGACAGCTCAGGTTTAGATTCCTTGACAGAGACAGGCAAGACAGACAGTTCGAAATCAGAGACATTATTTTAGACGAGACGGAGAGACAATTCACAATCAGACACCATGGCTGGTTCAGAACAGGGCGAGGGTTCAGAGATGGCCTCCTCAGCCAGTTCAGAGTAGGACAAAAGTTTAAAAGCGGCTTCCGTAGCCGTGACAGGACAGGCAAAGAGCTCACAGACGGCCTCCATAGCCGTGACAGGACAGGCAGAGAGTTCACAGATGGCCTCCATAGCCGTGACAGGGCAGGACGAGGATTTACAGACGGCCTCCATAGCCGTGACAGGACAGACAGAGAGTTCAAAGACGGCCTCCATAGCCGTGACAGGGCAGGCCAGGATTCACAGACGGCCTCCATAGCCGTGACAGGACAGGCAGAGAGTTCACAGACGGCCTCCATAGCCATGACAGGGCAGGACGAGGATTCACAGAGAGAGATCACAGATGGCCTCCATAGCCGTGACAGGACAGGCAGAGAGCTGATGAGTGAATACCACTGACCCCTCTGGAGGTTCTGCAGCGGATGCCACCACCTCTGGAGGTTCTACAGCAGTACCATCAGGAAATAGAGAAAGTTCATTAATATTCTCTTTAACAGGACAGGTACAGCGTTCATCAACGGTTCCTTCGACCACGACATGACAGGCTGAGAGTGCATTGCTGGGCTCCACCACCGTACAAGGAGCTGAAGCAGGCGTCATCGCCTCTGGGGAAACAGCAGCGAACTCCACTACCTTGGGAGGTTCTGCAGCATCAGCCGCCACCTCTGGAAACATCATAGTAGGCGCCGCTGTTTCAAGAGTCTCAGTGGTGGTGTATGCAGCCCAAACCATTATGGGAAGCGCTACAGACAGGGGAATCAGATCAGGAACAGGAGGGCTAGAGTGAATGGATTTGGGGATACCAGCTGCGACTGCTGACACCAGCGGTGGATCCTCCACGCTGGATGCCAGTCTGGGATACTGAAGACCTGACCTCGAAGATCTGAGTGCAACAAACGGGAAGTGACGAGACTCTGGATGATCAGCTGTGACGTGACGAGACTCTAGACGATCAGCTGTGACGTGACGAGACTCTGGAAGATCAGCTGTGATGTGACGTGACTGGACAGCAGCGAACTCCACTACCTTGGGAGGTTCTGCAGCATCAGCCGACACCTCTGGAAACATCATAGAAGGCGCCACTGTTTCAAGAGTCTCAGTGGTGGTGTATGCAGCCCAAACACTCCATAAAGCGATCCCCATTATGGGAAGCGCTACAGACAAGGGAATCAGATCAGGAACAGGAGGGCTAGAGTGAATGAATTTGGGGATACCAGCTCCGACTGCTGACACCAGCGGTGGATCCTCCACGCTGGATGCCAGTCTGGGATACTGAAGACCTGACCTCGAAGATCTGAGTGCAACAAACGGGAAGTGGGGGCTCTGCTGTCGCCACCATTATGTGAGCACGCTCCGGTGCGGCCGCCATTTCAGGAGCGGGTTGAATCACGGAGTAGCGATCAGTAAACTCGAATGTCCCTGAGTTTGTGGCTGACTAGATCTCATGGCCACCATTACCGGCCCGATCGCGATATTGCGTTCCTTCTCCGCGACACCCACAGTGAATAGAGAGCCAACAGTCAACAAAGCAAAGTCCAAAACACAACTCAGTGATGAACGCGGACCCTAAGCTCAGATCGTAGAGGTTGATTAAGGCCATCACAAAAAAACTCTATCAAAAGACAGTCCGGTAGATCAGAATAGTGTGCTATGGCTAAAAATTCGCGAACATAGTTCTCCAGCGATCGCGGGCCTTGTCTAAGGGCTAACAAAATTCTTGCCGTGTCCATACCTGGCCAGTGTTCCTCAGAAAAGCTGCTGGGTCCTTGTGTGGCCGAGTATTCTGTAATGGAAGCGACGAGACGAGAGACGTGCTGATCCATTTGCAGGCTTTTATTAAACAGAGACGTGGTCATAAGAGGCATGGGTCAAACAGTGGCAGGTACATTTCAGGCAAGAAAAAGAGTATTCCTAGGGCAAGCGTGGGTCTACGATCGGCAAACAATATCCAGAGTGCTTGACACGAGGGGTTATCCAATAACACAAGCAATAGTCCAGGCAAGGTGCAAACACAGTCCGAAACAGCAGGCAAAGGGTTAATCCAAGATACACAGGCAGAAGATCAGGAAACAGACAACAAGGCAACACAAAATGACTAGACTTAGACTAGAACTAGAAACGGAAACTTGGAATGGCTCCGTAATGTAGCTTTCGCTAGAAGAGTGATATACGCTAAACAATACTCGGCAGTGAGAGAGAGGAAGTCCATGGCTTATATATTGGATGCAGCTGTGTGTGTGTAATCAGTGCAATGGATGATGGGAAATGCAGTCCAGGGTGATGTGTAACAGTCTGTGTGGTGTGAGAGTCAATGTAATGGGAGAGCGACCTCTGGTGGCAATGAGCCGGAAGGCCACGGACCGGATTCGTGACAGCTGTAATGTTTGTTATCATTTCTATACCACAGGGCCCTAAGGGCCTCAGTCCCTGGACAGGAGTGTCACAATTCCTGCAGACATCCCAAAAAATCATCCAGTTTGCCTCAGGAAAGGAACCACAGCCAGGAGACACCATCATATATGTGGCTGGAGCTTTTGACCTATTTCGTATCCTTAAACACTTAGACAATAATTAGAGCACTCAAAATTTCTTCTGTTAAAATAAAAAGAATAAAATAAAATATATTATTTAAATTTTTGAAAAAATTTAACTGAATGCATTCACAAAAGAGATTTTATAAAGATCTGGTGGAGGTGAAGATTGTCAGTAAATAACAAATTCTGTGTGTCTGTTCCTCACACAAATCGCATGACTTCAGGCAGAACAGACAGAATCAAAATGACAGAAATTTAATTTTGGGGTAAATTATTCATTTAAGATAAAGCACTGGTAAGCACTGGTTCCTCACAACATCATCAAGAGCTATGACAGCTATTACACTACTGAAAATAAAATAGCTTGGAGACAGGACACGTCCCCCTCTTAAATAAAGGTATATAAATCACTTTTATATACAAAGGTATAAATAACCTCACTGGACCATAAACGGTGTTATCATTGTTACTCTGTTCATTCTCTTATCTATTGTCATTTTTATTTGGCAGGCTGGGAACTTTACGTTAAATGCTCTGCAGAAAAAAAAAAAAGAAAAACAAAGGACAATATTGTCCTTCTTTCAAACATACAGTGTGTGTGTCAGGATTATGGACTGTTTTTTTTGTGTTTACCCTCCCCATGTGTTCCATGTCCCAGTTAATTGACTGATTCCATGCACCTGTGTTCCCCTGATTGCCCTGTGTTTAAAAGTTCCAGTCTGTTCAGTTTGTATTTGTCGGGTCTTGAACGTCCTCCTTGTGTTCTGTGTCTCCATGTTGGATTATTAAAGTCTCTCGTTTTGTGAAATCTCCACGTCTCCTCGTTTCCTCGTTCCCTTGCTCCAGCGTATTGTGACAGAAGACCTGACCGAAACAGTTACCTCCGTGTGTCTACCCTCCGTTTTTGTTTCCATTTTTTTTTCCTCAGTGTTTCGTTTCCGTTGTGTTATCCATGGATCCCCTCACCCGTCCGGAGTAACTTCTCCTTCTGCTGGAGCAGGGGGAGAGATCGCTCGAGGGCCATACTAGACTGTTCCTGGTCCTCACTGCTCTAACCAGCTACCCAGACGGCGCGCTCTGTGCGTTCTATGACACCAGTTTAAACATCTCGTGCAGAGCGCTGTCGTCCGAAGATGGTCCTCGAGCGAGCTTTGCTGCCTTTGTGGAGTGGACACTGGCAAGACCACCCCCTGCACCGCAGCTGAGGGTGAGCTGTGTATGGCGCAGTGACTGTGCCACACCGAAGAGGAGAGGGCTCCCGTTCCTTATTTCTGGCCTGAAAGCCCGGAGGCTCACAAATGCCTGCCCTCCCACCCGCTCCTGCCTCCTCCTCCGCTGTCGTCTGGCAGCCCCTCTGCTCGCCCTCAGCCCACCTTGGTCTGGCGTCGACCATCCTGCGCCTCGGGAATCCACTCCTCTGGCTTCGACTCATCCCTTCGTCCCTCCGGCTCCATCAGACTCCTTCATCCCCTCGGCTCCTCCTCAGTCCTCTGTCGCTCTGGCTCCACCGTGGCCTTTCGGATCCCCGCCTCCACGTCAGTCGCCGGCGCCATCTGCTCCGCCTTGGCCCTCCAGATCCTCCCCATTGCCCTGGCTCATCGGCTCTCCGTCTCCGCCTCGGGCTCCTCCACCACCTGCTCCGCCACCGTTGGTCAGCCCCCTGGAGTCGGCGGCCATTTCTCCTTCATGGCTCCTCCCTCCATAGGCTCCACCGTGGGTCGCCCTCATGGCTGTGGCCTGGGTCCTGCTTGGCTCCTCCTGCTCCAAGTTCTTCCTGTTTCCAAGTTCTCCCTGGCTCCTCCCTCCGTCTGATCCGCCCTGGCTCCTCCTGTTTCCTCCCTGGCTCCTCCCTCCATCGTCACCTCCCTGGTCCCTCCCGGGTGTCCGTCCTCTCCTCCTCCATGGCTCCTCCCTCCGTCGGCTCCACTGTGGGCCGCCATTATGGCTGTGGCCTGGGTCCTGCTGTGCTCGTCCTGCTCCGGGCCCCTCCTGTCTCCACCCTGGCTCCTCCCTCCTTCGTCGCCTACCTGGTCTCTGTCTGCCGGCTCCCTCCCAGGTGCCCGTCCTCCTCCCGAGCCTCCTCCTTAGTTCGCACTCATGCGGTTCAGTGGCTTCAAAACTCTCTTTTGATTTTTTGTCTAAAACGTTCTATTTGTTTAATAATATTTAAATAGCTTACCTATTCTCGCTGTGGAAAATACAAATTAGGCCATAGATTTTTTGTCACCATGGGTAGTTTTACCCGTGCTGTAGTTTTTCTTACTTGATTTGTGAATGTACATACTGTATTGTTTTGCCCTTGAGACCCCTGCATTCTTTGCTTTTTCTGAGAACGCAAGTAAAACAATATTAATGTTGTCCTCTTTGACCTGATGCAATTCAGACATTGGCCATGTGGATTTCCTGGATGCAGTGTCCCAGCTTTCAGAGAAGCCATATGTTATTGTGGGCTTGCACTTTGATCAGGTAAGCTGAATACAGGAAAATCTTAGGAAATATCTACAGGAAATATAAATTTTAATTTTCTTGGTTGAGCATGATGCTCATTGTTTTTGAAAGGACATAAGAGATGTGAGAAAAGAAGGAGGAACTGCATGTTTGTTTTATTATCATCACTCTAGGAGGTGAATCGTTACAAGGGGAAAAACTATCCCATCATGAACATCCATGAGAGGACTCTGAGTGTGCTGGCCTGTCAAGTGAGGATTGATCTTGCATTGCATTGCAGTTCATGCCCGTTTATGTCTTGATATGTTTGTTATTAATAGTTTGATTTGAATTTCTTTATTTTGTTTTCAAATCTCCCAGTATGTCTCTGAGGTTGTTATAGGAGCACCATATGCTGTCACAAAAGACTTATTGGAACATTTCAAGGTAAACACTCTTACATTGTGGTGAATTTGATTCTTGACTTTTGTCAGACCTGTTTGACAGAGTTAGATATAACACTGGCTTTTGACCATTAGCATAAAAACTGTGGCCAGTAGTCATGCCGTCTCATTTGGCCATGTTCACACAGACAGTATTTAGGATTGACAACAGTATTTACTGTACACCTTGTATAACTATAAAATTATTCTTTTTTATTACAATTATAAAATTGATTTCAATATCTTCTAATTAAAACAATAAAACTAAATGTTAAATAAAATAAATAAAAAATACAATAAAATAAAATAAATACAATTTTACTCTGTATAATATAGCCGATTAGAGATTCAGATCAGACAGAAACTTGATTTGTGGCCACTATTTTTTTTTCTGGCATGTCAAGCTTTGGTTTCTGCGCTCATTTCATTTATAGAGTTTACATAATATCTCTGGATCACCTGTTATCCAGCAAACACGAGGTGTTTGTTGAATATTATTTTACTATTATTTTGTAGAATTCATTTCTCGATTTGAAGCCATTATCTGTGGTAATCAGGTTCGGGCACATCTGTATTGTAGAGTTACATGAGGAGGTAAAGGTCATATAGGTCAAAACTTCAGTTGAGAATCCTGAAAATTTTAAGGGAGTCAGTTCGGTTATAGAATGCAGTTCCCTTTCAGTCGGTCACTCTCGACGTCACGTCGGATGACCGACGAATTGGGATCTCGCTTAGAGGGACCAATCTACTTCGAGTGTAAACTAAACGAGCCAATGCACATTGGCATGCGATTATTGCATCCAGCTGCTGCTGATCACAGCATGAGTATAAGTAGGCAGCAGATGCAGCGCATATTCAGCTTTTTGCTTCGGAGCCGAGCGGTTCTATCGTTCTGCTCCTGACCTTCTACAGTGGTGAAAAACTACAGTCAAGCACGCTCTTCGTGGTCTCTCGTTCTGGTGGTACGGCGCTTCAGCGGCGGTGGTTTTCCCGTGTTGAGTGGGTTGCACACAACAGGCTGCACTACCCCTGTGTGTGTTGCAGACGGCCATCTCCCCTGTGCGCTTCAGCACACTAAAAGAGCAATTTCCATCTAAAAGAGCTTCACGGGTGGAACGTCTTTTTAAAGATGTCGTACCATCTGTGTGTTTCTGGGTGCGGTCGTTACCTGGCGCCGGGTGATGGTCACGATCGCTGCCTCTCGTGCCTGGGCATGAAGCACGCTGAGGTGGCTTTCGTGGATGACTCATGCTCCCATTGCGGGGTTGTGACCATCTCGAAGTTGCGGATCAGACTCCGTTACCTGCAAGGGGGCGGAGTGCCCGTGCCACTGCCTAGATCTGGGGTTCCCTCTGGTGGCAGCCAGG